GCAGCTTGAGACCATTACTCCTCGTTCTGTCATCTGCTACCATTGAGAACAGTCTAGAGCCATCCTCTTTGGAACCCCCTTTCAGGTAGTTGAAAGCAGCTATCAAATCCCCCCTCATTCTTCTCTTCTGCAGGGTAAACAATCCCAGCTCCCTCAGCCTCTCCTCATAACTCATGTGTTCCAGACCCCTAATCATTTTTGTTGCCCTTCGCTGGACTCTCTCCAATTTATCCACATCCTTCTTGAAGTGTGGGGCCCAAAACTGGACACAGTACTCCAGATGAGGCCTCACCAATGTCGAATAGAGGGGAACGATCACGTCCCTCGATCTGCTCGCTATGCCCCTACTTATACATCCCAAAATGCCATTGGCCTTCTTGGCAACAAGGGCACACTGCTGACTCATATCCAGCTTCTCATCCACTGTCACCCCTAGGTCCTTTTCCGCAGAACTGCTGCCTAGCCATTCGGTCCCTAGTCTGTAGCTGTGCATTGGGTTCTTCCGTCCTAAGTGCAGGACCCTGCACTTATCCTTATTGAACCTCATCAGATTTCTTTTGGCCCAATCCTCCAATTTGTCTAGGTCCTTCTGTATCCTATCCCTCCCCTCCAGCATATCTACCACTCCTCCCAGTTTAGTATCATCCGCAAATTTGCTGAGAGTGCAATCCACACCATCCTCCAGATCATTTATGAAGATATTGAACAAAACCGGCCCCAGGACCGACCCTTGGGGCACTCCACTTGATACCGGCTGCCAACTAGACATGGAGCCATTGATCACCACCCGTTGAGCCCGACAATCTAGCCAGCTTTCTACCCACCTTATAGTGCATTCTTCCAGCCCATACTTCCTTAACTTGCTGACAAGAATACTGTGGGAGACCGTGTCAAAAGCTTTGCTAAAGTCAAGAAACAATACATCCACTGCTTTCCCTTCATCCACAGAACCAGTAATCTCATCATAAAAGGCGATTAGATTAGTCAGGCATGACCTTCCCTTGGTGAATCCATGCTGGCTGTTCCTGATCACTTTCCTCTCATGCAAGTGCTTCAGGATTGATTCTTTGAGGACCTGCTCCATGATTTTTCCAGGGACTGAGGTGAGGCTGACTGGCCTGTAGTTCCCAGGATCCTCCTTCTTCCCTTTTTTAAAGATTGGCACTACATTAGCCTTTTTCCAGTCATCCGGGACTTCCCCGGTTCGCCACGAGTTTTCAAAGATAATGGCCAATGGCTCTGCAATCACAGCCGCCAGTTCCTTCAGCACTCTCGGATGCAACTCGTCCGGCCCCATGGACTTGTGCACGTCCAGCTTTTCTAAATAGTCCCTAACCACCTCTATCTCCACAGAGGGCTGGCCATCTCTTCCCATTTTGCGATGCCCAGCGCAGCAGTCTGGGAGCTGACCTTGTTAGTGAAAACAGAGGCAAAAAAAGCATTGAGTACATTAGCTTTTTCCACATCCTCTGTCACTAGGTTGCCTCCCTCATTCAGTAAGGGGCCCACACTTTCCTTGGCTTTCTTCTTGTTGCCAACATACCTGAAGAAACCCTTCTTGTTACTCTTGACATCTCTGGCTAGCTGCAGCTCTAGGTGCGATTTGGCCCTCCTGATATCATTCCTACATGCCCGAGCAATATTTTTATACTCTTCCCTGGTCATATGTCCAACCTTCCACTTCTTGTAAGCCTCTTTTTTATGTTTAAGATCCGCTAGGATTTCACCATTAAGCCAAGCTGGTCGCCTGCCATATTTACTATTCTTTCGACTCATCGGGATGGTTTGTCCCTGTAACCTCAACAGGGATTCCTTGAAATACAGCCAGCTCTCCTGGACTCCTTTCCCCTTCAAGTTAGTCCCCCAGGGGATCCTGGCCATCCGTTCCCTGAGGGAGTCGAAGTCTGCTTTCCTGAAGTCCAGGGTTCGTATCCTGCTGCTTACCTTTCTTCCCTGCGTCAGGATCCTGAACTCAACCAACTCATGGTCAGATATCAGATATCATCTGTTACAGTGAGACTTCTACTAGTTGATGTCATAATGCTGACATTCTGGAATGTCTTCAGAGAACCAAGAAGTAGAAACAGGGAGAGAAGGATTTCATCGTGGGGCAATTCAAAGCATATTTGTGGACTTTCACTCAGTTTTCATTTCATTTGTCAGAAAATGGCCTCTCTCGTTTGTAAAAATTTTAAATTAGCTACATATTTAATAAAGATTAATATGTCATGACTCAATTTCACTGCATCGTAAGTGTTGATATTCTTTACTACTATGCATTTGTCCAAATATCTGAAATTTTGTGAATAGTCTATTTCCTGCCAGACTCAATTTATAGCTAAAAAGTAACTTCTAAATCTTAAATTCAGTAATTTAAGAAAATGCCTAGGAAAAGAGAAAAGGCCATTACTATAAAAAAAAATATGAATGCTGATTTGAGATCACTAACACCACAAGTACTCTGGTGGATGGGATGGGAACGGGAGGTGTAGGAGCCTAGCAATTCATAATATGGACATGGCTTGAGAGTCTTGCAAACGAGAATGAAATTTTTTGTTTTAGTCAACTTGATTTATGATACATTTTTGATGGAACTTGTATTAAAGAAGGTAAAATACTTGTTTGCAATGCTTGAACATGCCAAAGGGGAAATGAACAAGAAAGGAAAATAGACTATTTCAAACTATAGATTCGCTCTTCTGATGAGGTGCGATCTTGTGATCAGCAGCTATCTTCCTCTCTTTTCTTCCCTCCATTTCTGAAAGAAGCACTGTTTTGAAACTGATAACAGTGCCTAATAATAAATGATCCCATTCCCCCCTCCCCATTTATACACAGAAGTGAATTCAAGAACAAATTTAGGGAGGGTAGTAGAACTAGATTTGAGAACACACTTAGGTTTTAGGTCCCAGGTATAGTGGTACTGATGAGCACAGAGATCACAAGCTTAGAATCTGTAAGATATTCCAACAGTAACTTCTGGCTGATGCCAGCTGAACACCATTTCTATTGAAATGGATAGGAGGAAATTTCTTTTTGGCTCACAGGGTCAGCAGCCTCCTAGACGCAACTGTGATAAATATGCTGCACAGATTCTACTGGTATCAGACTAGTGTCTCTACTAACTGAGTAAGCTTACTATAACATCTAGCCATTAGTTGGTGGACACCAGAATCCAAGAAAGGGAGGGGGGAAGAGACTAATTTGCTCAATCCTTAGTATTTCTTGCTTCGCAAGTCACTCAATGTGTCATGACTCCCCCCCACGAACAGGCTTACAAACAGTTTAGCCAAAAAGAAGGTTAAGTGTTGCAAAGCCTGCCCCCATAAAAGGAGAAAAAGCAGTACATTTTAATAAAAATAAAAACACCATCACATTGGACTATTTATTGTGAATTATTAAAATACTGTAAGGTTATATTAAAATTTTCTTGTGAAATGAATTTGGCAGTCTAACAAATACAACATATATTCAACATGATTAATAGTCTTTGCTCATTAAAGAGTTTATGAGTGAATGTACTGATTGTATATTCAATCATAGCCTAATACAATATATACTACATACGCACATAGCCTAATACAACAAACTGAGAGGTACCAAAGTATAGTACACTTACCAGGATAAATTTTAAAAGACTGAATATATTAATGTATAATATGTAACATAAAAAAGTATTAGGTAAACTATTAACTACTTTTGAGATCTATCTTCAGTGGCAGTTGAGTTTCCTAATCACATCACAGGATCAAGTCCTTAGTCTCAGAAAACATTGTTCACTAATAATTTATGGGATAAACGAGAATGATGTCTTACCTGTGAATTTTCTTTATAAAAACATCAGAGAGACAGTCTTTTCAGTGAGTGTTCCGGTCTCCATAGGAACTGAAGGCAGACCAAATCTTTGCTCTGAGTCCAAGCTTTGGACTGCCCTCCAAGAAGACTATTCCAGAATGATAGTATTTTTCAGCTATGGACACTAGTGAGATAAAAGTTTTAAAGTGCTATTCAACTCAAATTATTTACAGCCGAGCCTTGCAATGAAGTTTAAGGATTTCCTAGGAGAACATGCTAGTCGGGAAATGGTGTAAGCAAGAGGGAACATTTCTTGCCCTTCTGCTTCCTGTTGCTGTCTCAGACAGAGGGTTAAGACAAAGTGCTTCCTCAGAAAACTAAATGGAAAAAAAAATTAGTAGTTTTGCAACGAAACTCCTTGAAGCCAATGAGAAACCAGTGTGAAATTTAGTCAAAGTTATTTTCAAATACTGAGAAAAGCTCTGCTATAAAAGAGAGTCCTTGAGTCTGCCATCTGTACATTTGGAGGCAGAAAATTCTGTAAAGTTCTTCCAGAAAGGCAGTTCCAAGCAAAGAACAGAATAAAGATCTGGTCTCCCTCCAGTTGCTATAGATATGGAGGACCACCACTCAAATTACGCTGGAATGCTCAGGAACAACGTTCCAGCCCTTTTTGGAGGAGCTGGAATAGCATTCCAGTACTTCTGAGCCTGCTCCTCACTCCAGAAGGAGAAAGAAACAGCCACCTCTCCTTCTGAAGTGGGCCTGGAAGTGGAAGAGGTGGATGAGGCAGAAATAACATCTCTTCATGCTGCCTCTTCCAACTCTTCCACTTCTGGGCCCACTCTGGAAGGAGAGGTGGCAGCTCAGTAACCTGCAGCTGAGACCCAGGTTGAGGGAGTCCCCCTCGGTCCCACCAGGGTTCCACCAAGGTTACCGAGCCGCCATCTCTCCTTTCACAGTGGGGAGCTGGGCCTGGCAGTTCTAGCATTTCATTTTTTAGGACTCAAGAACCATTGTGAAGACTGTCTGACATACAGCGAACAAGAATGCACATTAAGAATCAAATTTCATAAGAAAAGTCAGCTACACATTGTCAAGAATTATCAGTATTTAAATATGAAGTAGCAGCTTCTACTTTAATAATGTTGACTGCATATTAAGTAATCCTGGATATGATTTACAAAATAGGAAGTTATACTTACGTAACTGTGACTCTTACGGAAATCTGAAGGACTGCTTATACAGACTTTGTCTCCTTCCAAGCCAATTACTCTTTTACAGATATTTGATTTTGGGTCATTTGGGCTTTTTGCAATTACAATATCACCTCTGGGGGAACAAATTGTAAAGAAATGTCAATATAGAACACTCTTTGGATGAATATATATACAACTAATAATTAATAGTCATTGAATTGAAAAAAATATGTATTTCTTATTGAGAACCACTGCCTATAATCTCCATTTTTTCCCCATGACAACTCAGCTAAAAGGACCAATTATTCTATATATGTTTTAAAAAGCACATTTGAAGAAATTCAAAGTATACTACTTGAACAACAACAAAAATACAGCTGATCGTCATCTGACGATGCCCTGAACAAGTAAAAGCCATTTACATCAGTATGTTTGCTGCCTACTATACACAGATCAGCCTCAAGTTTCTTGTATACACCAACCTTCTTCAAATCCTCTGCAAAACCCTCTTCTTTCAGGAAACCTTACAATGTCTATTTCCAAGAGTCTGTTATCCCCTACATTACTTCTGTTTACCCTATTGTCCCTTAGTTGCATGCATTAGATTGTAAACTACAATAGTCAGAGCAAGGGCCTTGTTTTTTATGTGGCTGATGACCACTATGTACATATGCATGCTCCATAAAATAATAAGGTGGCATAGGGACAATATAATAAATGGTACTTTCATCATTTCTGGTGAGAATCTCTCCCCTAACTTCCTGCCTGGAATACTAGCAGCAATAACAATACTAGCAGCTCACCATATAGGACAAGATAAATGAAAAATAGGAAGTCTTATTCAGTGTGATGTTCGTCTGAGAAACGTGGTTGGAAGGACACAAGGGATTTTCAATCTTTTGGCCAAAATTCCAAAAGTGACATGCACTACGTCCCAGGAGAACTCTGAGTGAAGTAATCTTGTATCGTGTGACTAAAAGCAAAACTTTTAATCTGTCTTCCCTTCTAGAGATAAAGTGAAATGAGACTGGCACTTACAAAAAACAATTAAAAGAAGATGAAAACAGGAAAAAAGACAAGAGACCGTGAGTTGCCAGAGGGAATACACTGGAAAGGCAATGGACAGAGCGATAATCATTATCATGACAAACTTTAGAAAACTAAACAAAGCAACATACTTCTGAATGCAATAAAAATGGCGGCTAAGATTCTCCGAAAAGACAATGTCAGAATTTTGAATTGTTGGTTCCATTGAAGGTCCAGAACACTGTAAATTTAAACAAAAATTACTATTTGAAAAATATTTTAACTTGTATAATACTTAAGAGATTATTTGCAAATAAGTCACCAAAAAGCTATAATTTGGGGGAAAACAATAGACTAGATCCTTAGCTGTAGCCAAGGAGTACAAGACACATTTGAAAAGGGAATGTATAAAGGTTCCCTTTGAGCTCCCACAACTTAAGTGTTATGGAAATATCAACACATTGTGCATCAGTCTACTCTGATCTCCAACAAGATCGCTCTATGCTGCACCAGCTGCCAACAATCCCAAAAGGCCCTTACAGCAGCCAAGGATCATCAGGAAGTTGTGGGGAGGATCTGCAGGGTCCTCTCGCCTGGCTCCTTTCCTCAGCCATTATGAGGGGGAGTGGCAAAGAAGTTGTGACAGTAGCTCTACACCATCATCAACTACCACCAATTTCTGGGGTGCCAGGTTTACTAGATTTAGTGCTGGTAGAGCTAAGAACAGGATTGGGAAAAAATGCCTTTTAAAGAGCTATTTGTGGTCCCAGCTTTCTGCAAGGTGCTCAATGCCTTTAACTGAAGAAATGAAGCATGATGTTAAACTGCTGATAATATTAAAACTTTCCACTATTATAATAAAGTTCTGATTAAATGCATTATCCTTATTAGCATGAAAATGTAAATTACCACAACAATTCCTCCAAGGTACTCAAAGGCACAGTGTGCTATGCAGCCATATTGAATGGTATACCCCAGAAGTCGAAAGGTTTTTCCCATGACATCTCGAAGCATAGCACAGAGTTACTGTTGTGCAGCTGGCCCTAAAGTATATTAATAAAAGATACATAATTAGTCAATACACTTTAAAAAAAAAAAGTCACAGTTGCTCAATGTGTTCGGTTTTTAAAACGGCAGTCATATGTAATATTTCAGATTAATGAGAAGGAGCAAATTATTAGAAATAATGGAAATATTAACTCACTGAGATGAACAGCACTTGTGGTTTCGAATAGTGTGCTGTTTGAACTATAATCCCAACAGTGTGTGGCTAATACACAGCTCTCTGACTATTTCACTGGATGAAGAAAGTACAGTTGACTGACATGCTCAGCATGTAACTGAAATGGTTTGGATGAGAACTAGTGGGCAGCTGAAATAAGGGAAAGTGGTTTAGGCATGGGGAAATAATAGCAGGAAATGGCAGAAAATGTCTTCTCCCTGGGCTGGGGGCTTTTGTTACACAAGTTTGCAGCTGGGCTTTCTTGCTGGATGTCCAGATATCACTGGTCAAAAGTATATTTTCTATCTGTACTTAAATGGAAGGTTGTGATCATTCCTTTCAGATGTGGAACTTGGCACAGTTATTTTTTGCCTCTCACCTGGATACTAGACTACAGCAAAGCACTTCATTTGGGGCTACACCTGAAAACCACTTATAAACTTCAGCTGGTGCAGAAGTGGCAGCCCACAGAGAACATAATACCTGACCCAAGAGGCTGCCATGGTGCAATTCAAGGTGTTTGTTCTGATCTAAAAAGCCTGAATGATTTGAGTTCTGCATAAGCTAAAGACCAGCTCTCTCTTCACACACTACCCCAGCTAAAAGATTTGAGAATACAGTATTTCTTGTTTTATGTCTGGGATGGAATGGACTCACTGCCAAAGACTGCAGAGGAGAAGCACATAGAAGGGACATTTTCAGCTATCATTTTTCTGGGAAGGAGTTTGTTTTGTTCTATTCTGGTCCATTTTCTGAAGCTCCACTGAAACCTGGAAGGAAGATGGTGCCTCAGCAGAGATGAACCAGCTTCTTTCAGTGAGAACTGGGAAGCCTGCAAGTCAGGAGAGGAGGTGGTGGTACTGGTCATAAAAATCTCTGCTTCTGGATTCGCTGTCACTTGGATTACTAGCAGATGAGGACTCACCCAGTCATCCATACAGGTGGCATCCACCACATAGAATGAACTTAGGATATAAGAGAGTACCAATATATCAGAGAGAGGATATATGTATTCACTTTATTAAAATTAGTGGTGTGTTTAAGTGGCATTTTTCACAATCCAGCAAAGCATTTACGCACATGCTTAAATTCTTTGTTGGATCAGGACCTAACAGCTAACTTTTACTATAAAATGCTTATTTCTCAGCTAAAATGATCTTCATGTTGGCTACCATGAAATAGTTTCTACCACCTTACTGAAGGACATCTATGTCTTGTGTAACTTCTTAGGGCTCCATCCTACAAGGTGATGAGTACCTCTTGAGAAGCAATTGGTGCCCTCAGATCTGAAGTCAAAACAAGAGTTCGGAACTTTAGACTGTAAGGTCTTTGAAACAGGGAATGGGTCTGATTTTATGTTTTAAAAGCAGTCTGTAAGTTTATGATAGTATATTTACATAATACTTATGTGATTATTTTAATCAAATAAAGAGATTGTATCTTAACCACAGTTCTTTTTCAAGTGCTGGCATTACATTTTAGTTTTAATAAGAAACACTTCACAATCAAAGAGAGAATTGTTTTTGTTAGCAATGACAAACATTTATGGCCTAATTCACCACAGGAAACTGCAGTAATCAATCTGTCCTTTAAAGGTGACTTCAGTGGGTATACTGCACTGCAAAAAACCACCTGTGGCAGCAGGTTTCAGAGCCTGGGTCTATAGACTTGCACTAGAGCTTGGGCTCTGAAACCTGGCAAGGGGGACAGATCTCAGATCCTGAGCTCCAGTCCAAGTGGGAATGCCTACGCTGTTACTTGCAGTATCACAGTGCAAGCCCAAGTCTGTATACAGGCTCTAAGACTCACTGCCACAGTTTTGTTTTTGTTTTTTGCTGTGTACACACACCCAGAGGGACCATTCACATGAGTAAGGGTTTTCATGACTAGACCTAATATGAGGGAGAATGCATCAATCTGACTGGAAAAAAGCACCCCGCACTTGTTAACAAGGCTTTATTTAGACACCAGGAAAAATAAGAAAATTGTGGATATGAAAAAAAATTGAGAATCCTGAAGTTTTTGGGTGTGTCCTTATTTTTTGGTGCATTGTTCAATACAGTAATATCTAAATTCTCAGTTTTCCACAGAGCTCCTATTTAAGAAAATAAGAAAGCCTATACTGATCAACACCTTAAATTTCTATAATTCTAGTTTACCAAAATATAGACAACACTATATAAACAGACATTCTGCTGCTCTGTTGACCCAGCCTTGCAAGAAAATTCTAGTCAAACCAGGAGAGAAAGTGCCAACTTTTAAGCCTAATTAAAACTATTGAAATGTAATTATGGTAACATGTACATTTCTTTCCCACCCCCCTCTTTCCCACTCCCAAAATTATCAAGGAAACAGACTTTAAAATATTAAGATAATGCAGTGTGACGGTTCCACAGATAAAATTTATTTTAAAAACCAAAAAATAGAGGCTTCTATAGGAACGTTAACTCAACGAACCTCCACATTTTGGATGAAATCCTGGCCCTTTAAAGACAGTGGGAGTTTTACCATTGACTTCAGTCGGGCCAGGATTTCTCCCCCTCTGTTATACTGCATTAATGTAAAAAAAACCAAACCAAAATATTATGCTACATGTTTGATAAAATAAAGAAATAAAAATATTATCTATCTGCATTCGGGCTTTGTTAACACTGATGTATAAATCTTCACTTCTGTATTTTATGACACAATTTTAAATGGGGAAACATAGGATTACATTAACATAGGGTTAAACACGGTGTATTTTATTTGAGCAAAACTCCCATCGAAATCAATGCGGTTTTTTTACTTGAATAAAGATAGAACTAAAATCTAGATTTGCTTTGTATTTAGTATTTACTTGTAAAGATAAATAAAAAGCAGAATAATGTCTATAAAAATATTTTTAATTTTTTTTCTTGTAGTTTCTTATTCCAAAAGCATTTGCTTAACACCTTTCATATCAAAGATCACCATCATGGTAAACTTAAATGAGCAATGATTTAGTATACTTAATATAGCCAGGTAACAAATTTCACAACAGTGAAACAGAATGTAATCAAAAAGATTTCAGTCATATGGTGAAATTACCAACAAAAACTTTGTCACAACTCGTGGCCAAGATAGTGTATAAAAGGGTAGAAATTCACTAACGTATAAAGGAATCAAATCATGAAAAACCTTGTCGATCATCTAGCAAAATCTTAACATCAATTATTTGCCCAATTTGGTGCATGCAATGTCTAGAACACAGTATTTACAGAAGACCTTCTGTAAACTGATACTTGAACCACTCCATTTTGAACTAATTGCAATTTCATTAAGAGTTATTCTGGAGACCCAGAAAAGTGACTCGGCCTTAATCAACCTAGAATATTTAAAAGTATGTACTAAAGCCTTGATTCCACAGAGAGAAAGGCTGTTAGCCTAGAAATGTTTTTAAGGTGATAAAAGGAAGACTGAGTGGTGGCAGATCGATTAGAGTCATATGACAAGTGTGAATTAATGGCCTCAACATTTCTAGCAAAAGTTGCAATAGCAATATTTATCTCCTACAGTAATTGCTAGAGAGGCTGCCTCAGCCAGAAGTCAACATAAAAGCCTAACAAAAATACCCTAGTGTTATTAGACTTCAGACTGATCTAATTCTGAAACATCATGTTAATATTTGATTATATTAATACAGCAGAAAGACTTCAGCTACTTGTGGATGGTCCACAAGAAAAAGGTAAATCCTAATTTTATAAATTAAAGAATTTTTGGTTGCACTACATTAAATATAAAAATATTTAACTTTAACACTGTGGGAAACAGAAGCACATAAGAGTGATAAGAGCAAAAGCAAGAGAGTGAAAAAAGAGCCACTGTGTTGTACCCCCTTCCTGACTGATAAATGGTGTAGAATTTATTTTCAAACGGAACTGGTAGAGAAAGACTTCTCATTAAGAAAACATGGGTCTCTTGGAGAGAAACACAAAGTTCTACTGTGGGGCTACTGGCTGGGACAGCAACTTCCAATAATTAAAAATCACAAGTGTCACTTCCCTGATCTGAGAAGAAACTTGTTTTTATTTCACCAAGCTATTACATACTTGATAGTGTACCATACCAAACACATGCAGTAAATTTATTCTCAAAGCTTGTAAAGAACATACCTACTAAACTCCATCATCCCCTGGATACCTCAATTGACCAGCAACACTCTGAAGTTTTCAAGGAAATAAAGAATCTGGTAAAATGGTGATTGCTCTACCTACTGCGGCAACAGCCATTATAAAATTGCCCCCTAACCAAGGGAAATGTACAGCAAGCCAAGAGGTCTCAAGTCCTGTTCCCAATTGTTTTACTGACTGGCCTTAATAATTCTCTGCACTTCACAAGATTTAAGTGAAGTCTCACTCCACTACCCCAGGAAGTAGAGAGAGATTATTACTCCTATTTCACATACAGTGTAAGAGAGGAACAGTAAATTATAGTGAAATATTCAGGACATCGGATATTCGTTATAAAGACGCGGAAATCACTTGACTGCTATAAGTATTTAAGATAATTAATGTCACAACAGTGGTAACATAGTTCAGACATAGTTATACATAGTTGTTTTTTTTTACAATTAATGGGATAATTTCATACAGTTCCCTTCACTATTTTATTGAGTAATATATTAAAGAATAACAAAATAATTAAAATCCCAAAACAAAGTTTTCAGTTTAAACAGTAAGCCTTCAATGAAATCTTATTTCGATGGTACATGACACATTTACGGCATAATCCAATCAACTACAAAAACTCATGGTTCATTAACTTCTTTAAAATAAACCTGGCACTAATACTACTATTGTT